GGTGAAGCCTCTCACCGCCCCTGAGCCTCTGGCCTGTACCCCAGTTCTGTATGCACAAATAAATAAATCTTTAAAAAAAAAACAAATATTGGGGTCCCCTTGACGGTGCAGGGGTTAAATACTCAGGGCTATCAAGCTGTTGCCAGTGGCTGTGGCTTGAGTTGGATCCCCAGCCAGGGAGCTAGCCCATATGGCACAGCAGATATCTCCTGTCTACCAGCTGCTCCCTTCAGTAGATCCACCTGTTCTACTCCCTACTCTGTCTCTGGTGAATCCTCTCACCTATCCTCACCTCTGGCCTATACCCCAGTTCTTTTTATGGCCTCAGATTTACTTTTGTTTTGCTTCTTTAAATCTTGCAGAGTGAACCCTACACTCAAGGGTTTGAGTTTTTCATTCAGAAGGTCAGAAAGTCAAGTAGAGTACTAACTCAGGTATCTCTAATTTTGAAGTTTCAAAGGTGATTCTGAAATATAGAATTAAGACTCACTACTATATAAGAACAAATAGTCTCTCTTCTTCTCTTCCTCATATCCCTTATATCTTTGACACAGTGGAGAGTAATAGCATATCTATCAAGTAAAAAAAAAAAAAAAAAACCCTAGGAAAAAGGCCACAACGTTAATATAGGTTCTTTTTGAAATAACAGTGAGCCATGAAGAATCATAGATTTCTCTAATTTGGAGAAAGATACTCCAGAACCTTAATATATAGAAAAGGCATTAATCTAATGTCCCAAAGCAGTGGTTTCTGGGCTTTCTTGATCATGTGTCAATAAAAAAACTAACAACATGACAATCCGAATATATGTATATTTACTTATAAGTAAACTGCATATACTCCTGTACTTATGTATGTTATACAACATGTAAAAATACTTGATTATGGTGAATAAGATTAATTAAACAGCATATACATTAATCTTAATAGAAAAACCTTTTCATCACTTAGATGTTATTAGTAATAATGTTGCCTAATGGGAGCAGTGTATTTGAATATGTTGTATTTGGTGAACCTGCCATTACTTTGCTTAGTGAGGCAGCTGATAAAGGACTTACTTACATGAGTAAAACTACAAACACCACTGTTTCCTTAGTGTTCGCTACCACGGAATTATTAGAATTCTCTTCTATGAACTGTTTCTCTGTAAGAATCTTTTAAGACCCCATTGTTTTTGTGAGATGTGTAGTTAAAAAGTGGTAGTGAAATCCTTAAATCCACTTAAAAGGCAGGCATAAACAGTAGTATGCTGTAATACACTGAGGAAATTGACAAGTGAGGATGTCATTAACAACCCCTTGGAATTGGGGAGATTATATATAGTATGTGATTATCTGATATATTTCAGGGCCAACATCTTTGTTAACTGTTAATGGAAAGGAATATATTTAGAAGTTCTAATATGTTTTTTCACACCCCAGAGAATCATCATGCATACACTGGAGTGCTTACTTTGACCACCATTACTCCAGATAGCTACATTTAAAAATTCTCTGGAAGTAGCACAGTTCTTACAAGTTATTGTAGTTGAATAAAAGTTGGATAATGAAATGTGAATTCTAATAAGACTTCCAAACTTTTGTCCTTATGTTAACCTATAAATTTGATTATGAAACTATTCTTTGTTTTATACATGGAAAAATTAATGCTCCAGGTAACTTCTGACATTCATAAAAAATGGTTAGGGGTGACATTATAGCTCTAAGATCACAGTTCTACTTTTTCCTCTAATCTGAATCATGGATTCTAGTTACCATAAATAAATTTTTTAAATCAAACTAAAATATTTTTTCATCTGTTTCACTATTTAATATTTCAGGAGAGTTAGTTTAAAATCTGGAATTTAGTAATCATGGCTAGTGATGTGTTCTAAGGCTGAATTTTAGCCAATAAGGTATAGCTCAAAACACACGTAAACATAGCTCTAGTTTATCCTAACTGTACCTGCTTTTTGTTTTGTTTTGCTTTGTTTCAGCTGTCTTCACAAAAGTCAGTGCCATGGATACCCATGCTAAAATCATTACCACTTTGGGCTATTGTGGTTGCACATTTTTCTTACAACTGGACTTTTTATACTTTATTGACATTGCTGCCTACATATATGAAGGAAATTTTAAGGTTCAATGTTCAAGAGGTGAGAAAAATTAATCATCTGCTCCTTAATTAGCATATGTACTTTAAACTACACACAGATTTGGTTTTGTCTATATGAAATTCAGTTATTTTGTATCTTTCCTTTTACTCAGATACACTAATTCTTAGAGACTTCTCTTTTGGCCTTAGAGTTGTTCTTTTTCTCAATGTATGTTATTTCTTGATTCACAGTATTTTGGGGCTGGTATCCTCTTTAACCATAAAGGTCTTACTAGTTCCTAGCAACAGGATATCAGATGAAAAATTCAAGTGGCACCAATATTCACCTGTGAAAGAGATTGTAGTGGGACTCTGCTGGCAGCCCAGAGGCGAGCCGGGAGGCACAGGATCCTTGTACAGAGATTGGTCTGCAGTACTGGAACAGCAGTAGTTGTAAAGCTGTGTGTGAAGGGCCTTTCTGAAACTGCCAGTTCCTTTGATCTTGTGATACCAAGATGGATCTAAGGTAAATCTTGTCTTTAAAGAGATTAAGGAAAAGCCTAGAGAAACCTGGTTTATAAGGAAGCCTGATGTTTTTGCCTTCAGAAATGAAGGATATTACTGAAGGACATGTAAGGATATATATTTTAAGGACAGCTGAACAAAAATGATTATAAACCTGTGCTGCTGGGCACACAACGTACAATAATGTAATTTGTTACAATAGTAAATCAAAGAAAAAGAGGGAATCTGTGGGAGTAAAATTCCTGTATACCCTTGAAATATAACTAATATTAAAATAATTAATTTGAAATGTGTTTCTATAAATAAAGATGTTATTTGTAATCTCTGGGCAACCACTGAAAAAATCATTAGTACTAAGAAAAGCAATCAGCAGTAAAACAGATTACTAACATATGGGAAGCTCATCAGTATGAAACAGTGAACAAATGAAGTCTAAGTCAAGAATTCAACGTAAGAGTTAAAAGCTATAAAACTCTTAAAAGGTGTAAGAGGAGCAGAACCGTAATGGACTATAGTGGAAGATTATTGGTGCTTCAATAGTGTGGATAATGTAATAACATACATTTGTAGAGGTGAGAACCTATATCTCTAAAACATATGCAGTGTTATAAATCAATGTTACCATAATCAGTTTTTTAAAATGGGGGGAGGGGTTAGGTGAAATAGACAACACCATTTTTTTAAATGCAATACCAAATGCACAAGGGACCAATGAGGGAAAAAATGATAAATTGATAAATTGGACCTCATCAAAATTTTAAATTTTTGTATATCAATGGACACTATGAAGAATGAAAATCCAGCAAGGAGAAAAAAAAAATATGTGCAAATCATAAATCTGATGAGGGGCTAGTATCCAGAATACATTAAAAAAAGTTCTTTCAGGCCCTCCTTGGTGGCGCAGAGGGTTAAAGCACAGCACTGAGAAGCTAAAGCCACTTCAGCATGAGTTCGATTCCCACCTGCCCCGGAGGTGACCACATGGCGTGGCAGACCTCTCCTGACCCGCCCGCTGCTCCCCTCAGCAGTGTACTTCGTAGATCTGCCTGTTCTGCTCCCCCACTCTGTCTCTGATGAAGCCTCTCGCTGCTCCTGAGCCTCTGGCCTGTACCCCAGTTCAAATCAATAAATCTTTAAAAAAAAAAAAAAAAGCTCTTTCAATTCCATAATAAAGGACAAATAACCCATTTTTTTAAATGGGCAAAGGTTTTGAACTTGGAGACATTTCTTTACCATGTGCTCAACATCATTAGCCACTAGGGAAATGCAAATCAAAACCATAATGAGATACCACCTCATACCTCTTAAAACTTAAAATGAAAAGCAAACCAGAAAGTAACATGTGTTGGTGCAGAAATGGAAGCCTCAGACATAGGTATAGCCATCACAGAAGCAGTTTGGCATTTTCTCAACAAGTTAAACGTATAAATTGTATGACATAACAATTCCACTCCAAGAGAACTGAAAACATGTCCACACAAGTACCTGAATGTTTTTAACAGCCTTACTCATAATAACCAAAAAGTGAAAACAATCCAAATGTCCATCACCTGATGTGATTAGACAATGTGTGGTCTGTTCATACAGTGGAATATTACCCCCACACAAAGTGAAAGCTAGCCCTGCAGGGAAGAAGCGGCCTGGATGGGATGGTGAATGTAAAGATGGGAAGACTTACTGCACAGCTGCATTGGCATACATGGACTTGACATACTTGCAGCAAATCTTCAGTCATCTGTCTTTCAAATCATACTCAAAACATTGACTTACAGAGCCAACTCTCAGATTTCATCCAGGCAGCTAAACTCAAGAATTCCTCTGGCTACTTTTGAAAAACAAAAGTATATACCCAAATACATCCACACTGATAAAAGTTAAACCGAAAAGAGGCTTTGACAATAGCATAGGATGGATTTGTTCTGAGCAACCTTGTTTCTCCTTAGCTCTCATCTAACAAGAGTCTGACTGTAATCTAACTACTGTAACAATGAATTGCATGCAAGTTTAAAAATCATTCCTCTGATGATTTCTACTTGATGTCTGTTTGAAGTTTTTCTAGGAAAACTATGGGAAAAATAAGCAGTCAATAACTCACCAGTGTTTAGTATTATCCTGTGCCTTTATTTTCTTTAATTCCGTAATGAGAGATTTTAATACAAGAATCTTTTATCTTAGATTTTCATACAAAAAAAAAGACATTTTCCTAATGAATCAAAATTAAAAGATATGTAAAAAAGTTTGAAAACAATTCTCCCCCTCTATGGAACCCTCTTTTTCAAATAGATTTTTTCTTATAACTAGATATTTAACATTCTTAAAATGGCTTTAAGCTTGCTTTGAGAAGCATTGTATTTAAAATTATAATCTGGGCCTCCCTGGTGGCCTCCTCACCTCCCTAGTGGGGTTAAATCTCTGCACTGTCACTGCTAGGGCCTGAGTTCCATCTCCAGGCAAGGAACTGACCCGCATGGCTCAGCAAACCTCTTCTGTCTCATCTGTTGCTCCCCTCAGCAGTGTATTTCAATAGATCTGCCTGTTCTGTTCCCCACTCTGTCCAAGGTGTATCCTCTCACCCCACACACCTCTTACCTATACCCCAGTTCTTCTAAGCAAAAACTAAAATAAGATACAGTTTATTATAAAGTTGTAATCTTTCATTATTTAAAAAATTGAAGTTCTTGATCCAGATATGCTTGCTTTTTCATATAAGTTTTTTTTTATCAGTTACCCTTGCCTTTTTTGACCTAGTTTTCCAGTTCTAGTGCCCCTGTTTCTTACAACTCAGTGCGTGTAGTAGACCATCCATTGCCCTATTTTATGTAGTAATATTATTTTAATCAATTTTTTTAAAGTGAACACAAGGAATCATATCCTTAAACATAAAACTTAACAACTGTTAAGAGATGTCCATGGAATGTATAAATGTTGACAATTTTAGTGTGGGTCTAGGTTGTTGGGGAGATTTTAACATTGGAACTTTAATGTAATTCTGACAAATTTTATCAGTCTTACACTACTAAGGAACAAGGCCAAGATCAGAAAATTCCATTCTCTATTGCTAGGGTTCACTCATGTGTAAGATTTTGCCACAAAGAACAATAGATGTGAGCATACTAAACAGAAGTCCAAATGGAACAAAATATAAGTAGGAAGTTACTTAACATCAAAAAGAAATACAAATTTTTTTCAGCTAAGAATTATAGTAGAACTAGAAGTATATATCTGATTATGTATACTACAAATTATGCTGGGATTATTACCAGTCTTAAATATCACTGAAAAACTATCTCTCTGCCTTTTTTGTGTGTCTGTACAACACTGGCAGTGTTACCCCTCTTTCTCAGACTATAAAAAAATTTGTTTTTATAGAATTAGTCTGTTTAGTCTTGACTTCTCTGGTTTGTGCAGAGGAAAAATGAATAGAAAAAAGAAATTTTTCTTTTTTCTCCATCTGAGGATTATGTATTTTTCACAAGATTAAAAAAAAAAAGCTGATGACCAAATCATTCCCTACAAAGTAATTAATTAACACACTTCCATGATAAATTCTGTTTCATATTTCTAGATTTTTCTTTTTGTTTAGGTAGTAAACTTAAAGGAGAAGAGAGTGAAAAATAGGGTTCCCTCTGTGATCTCTGCCCCTGTACTCTGCTCACAGCATCTACTCACGCACACCTGTCTATGATGGTGTTAACTTTAGGATAATTCATTAAGCTGTACATTTGATTTATATGGCCCTCTGTATCTATACTTTATTGTATAATAAAAGTAATTTTAAAATTGAAAACAAAAACTTCAGTGGGGAGAGTCCATAGCCTAATAGGAAGGCTTGTCTTTCCTGCAACTGTAACCCAAGTCCCAAATTCAGTATTACCTTCGCCAGATTGGACTTTGGGGACATTTGGTACCTTCTGAGACAGGCTCTCCAGGACTTCATTGAACTGAAGCCCTCAAAAAATGAATTTACTTACTGTATATATAAATTAACATATATTACTATGTATTTCCTTTGTTTTCAGGTGGTATCAGATGTGTGTATATGTTATTTTGACTTTCCTCCCACAGTTAATCTAGTACCTTCTTACTGTCTCCAGAACGGATTTTTATCTGCACTGCCTTATTTCGGTTGTTGGTTGTGTATGATCCTATCTGGTCAAGTTGCTGACACTTTAAGGGCAAAGTGGAACTTTTCAACTATAACTGTTCGAAGAATTTTTAGCCTTATAGGTAAGTGAGGTAAATCAGATTTTGTTATGGTTTACAATTATTTACTGTGTTTACAGTGCAAGGCAAAATAAAAATGATAATGTTGGTCATTTATTTTGTTCACATACTGAAACAGGATGATTTATGAGTGCACTTCTGTGCCAGATGGTTCTTTTTGAAACTTGCATTTTGAGAATTATATAACTATTGTCTCTACAACAGTCTGCTAAAAATGACTGACCGCAGATTTTATCAATCACTGTTTTCAGTTATAACTTTACATTAAAAACAGTATTTTAAGTGTACATGCTTTTTCTAAGTGAATACATTTTAAAATTCAATCAGAAAATTTTGACTGCCAAATTTGACTATATTAAATGAGGAGCTATAAATCAAAGGAACCACAAAAAAAAAATCATGTGTTTCAGAATTGCTTTCAGAAAGGCAAATTTAAAACTATCTAGCACAATTACTCATTTTTTTAAAGATCTCAAGTAACTAGAGACCCTGGAAATCACCAGTGGCTATACCTCAGTCATTACATTTCAAAAAAACCTACTCAGATAATTCTCAGTTATCTTCTGAGTACCTTCAGCTCTAAGGTGCTGTCCTGTCCAACTGCTTATTTGCTTCAACTCTCAAGAAATTGTTCCATGTTTGTAAGTGATGTAGATTCCTTTAAGTTCAATCTAATTCTTTCTTTTTTGACAACTCTGTCCAGAATGGTAGCCACTAGCCATGTGTGGCTATTAAATTTAATTGAAATTAAAATATAAGTGCCTATGTCAGTATATACAAATACAGCATTTCCATCACCACTGAGTATTATTGGATAATACTGCTGTAGACACTTTGAAAAAATGGCAGCCGCTCATTAACTCCCTTCCTGTTGTTTATAGTTTATCCTTAACTACCTATAATAAACTATAATATTATTAACAATGGTTAAAGCTAAAGAAGTACTTCCTCAGTTTTAACCCACAGAGTTTACTGTTTATTTTCCTAAGTTATATGAATTTTACATGACATTCTTTTTCAACTATTGCTTCTCTCTAGAACCATATGTTTCAGTCTTCTTCCTTCTCTTTAATATTCTAGATCTTTAGCTCAGTCCTGATCACATGACTATTTACTAACAATGCATAATAAAATTTTTCTCTTTTTGTATTAGTTTCATATGCCCATTTCCTCCCCCACAAATCTGTGTATATAGAGACCCCAGGCAGTTACAATATTTATACTGTAGGTGGCAGCAACATCAAATGTCAGATTTGTACTAGTGTATAGCAAGCAAATGCTGATGCTAGATACCCTTTTTCTTTTTATAATTTTTAAACACCAGGGATGATTGGACCTGCGGTATTTCTAGTAGCCGCTGGATATATAGGTTGTAACTATTCTTTGGCTGTTGTATTCCTAACCATATCAACGACATTGGGAGGCTTTTGCTCTTCTGGATTTAGCATCAACCATCTGGATATTGCTCCTTCGTGAGTATTAACAAATATTTACTGTGATTGGCTTTAATTTGTTTTTTTTAATTGTAAGCTATTTATAACATAAAGTTTACCACAGTAACCATTTTTAAGTGTACAGTTCTGTGCCTAAATACATTCACATTCTTGTGCAACCATTAACCACAGTTCATTTGCAAAAACTTTTCATCTTCCCCACCTGAAACTTTTTATACATTAAACATTAACACTTCATTTCCCCTATTCCCTGGCAACCAACATTCTACTTTCTGCCCTAGAAGTTTGACTGTTCTAAATTCTTGAATAAGTTTTGACTTTGCACAATATAACTTGAAGTTGTTTTAAAATTTAAATTTTTAACTGTTACCATGTCTATCTACAGTATCCCCATAAAATAGGTGCATATAACACACTGTAATTTGTGTCTGTCTACTGCTAGACAGGAACTCTGGGAAGGCAGAGTATCATCCTTAGGGTCCACTATGATGCTTGCACAAAATAAACATTTAGTTAGATGGGTGAATGCCCAAGACCAATGTACAAATCTTTTTGTCTAGCATTGGATAGTTTACAAATTACTTCCACAAGCAGAATCTGTTTTTATCCTTAAAGCATCCCTATGAAATCAGTACTCTTGACCTGTTTTATGGCCGAGGACATTCACAGTCAAAGAAGTCAAATGATATGCATTAAATCACATAGCTAGTAAATGACAGACCAAAATTTGAACTTACTTGAACTTCTTTCTACAGCTCCCTCTCTGGAAATGTTCAAGAATTCTTTTGTAACAGTTGTTAAAGTAAAGTAAAGAAAGGAATTGTGTAAATATTTTGACTCAGAAAATGTTATGTACTCAATTTTTTAAATGGATATGAATTCATTTTTGGAGAAAAGAGGTAGCTTCTTACCATCTTCCCTTTACTTCAAATCCTTCACATCCTGGCAAGCATCCCACTGCTCTCTTAAACTGGCAGTGAATACAGATTGGATAAACAAATAGAAATTGTAGCTATTGTCAAAAGAAGGTGAAAGTGAATGCTATGAAAAAGGAAAAAATCCTTGGTATCTAGTTTATGAAATTATACAGGTTAACGAGAACATTCTCACGTGTACACACAGAATAACTTCATAATATAATAAATGTGCTTGCACATAATACAGTAAACTTTATTATTCCTGTGTCATAACTATGGTCACAAGTCAATGCAAGTAAAATATTAAAAGATTAGTGAGTTCTTAAAAAAGAAAATATTGATCACTAAGGAGCCACCACTGAATCACTGAGAGGCAAAAGAGCAAATCAGTCTAATTTCTCACCATCGTTTAAGCTTCATAGAGAAAACACTGGATGTTTGGCATCCAGGATTTCAGCAAGATTTCCCGTGATGTCCTGGATGTAATGTAGAAAGAGAGACACATTGGATGTGCAACTAGGTAGATTTGTTATTGCTAAATTTCAGTGTTAAGGCATGCTGATTAGTGCATCTAGGCATTTAACAACACTGCAAGGCACAGGATCAAATGCATAAGGCACAAAAAATGAAAGTAACATGTACCCTGCTTACATGTGTGTCAGCTTATGCTGACTTGGAGAATGATAAGCTCATTTACTGAACCATATACTCCAACCAGGACATTTTGTGAGTCTTACAAGTTAAAACGCCATTTATCTAGCTAGCTATGGTATGAATCAAAGCAATTCAGTAACATAAATGGTGGCATAAATACTTGTAGATGTTAGGAGATTGGTGTTGGAAACTACTATACTTGCTCTAAACTGACTGAGATGCCAGATTTGTGGCTCAGATCAACATAGAGGTATATGAAAATCATGTGTAATTTTTAAAATTTAGAAGTGTTCAAATGTAAGATAATAACATCAAAATTATGTTGCCTTTATATTTTGACTTAATCCTTTAGATGAACTTTGAATTTTTATTTTCCACCTAGAATTTCATGGTGCAAAACATGCTATTAATCATTATTCCACCCTCTCTATGGCTTGTTAACTAGGTGGGTTATGCATCTTATGAGTACGTTTTGCTTAGTTGCTTTTTATCTTTGATAGCAATGAAATACCATTCAGTGGATAACACTCTGCTAGTTAGAACAAGAACACTCGAGAACCATAGACCTTTAAGTTTCAAGCACTGGGGGTTGTGGTGAAAATTAAGGTTAAGAAAATTGATTTTTTTTTTCAGATTAAATTCATTGATATGTATTTTCAAAGAAGTGGTGTTATAGATTATAAAATTATACTATTAAGTACTAATTTGGAATCAGGTTGAATGACATTTCAGATTCTTCATCTGTCCATTAAAATGAGATAGTACATATAAAATTCTTAGCACTGTACCTGACATAGGTGTTACAGTAAAACAGCATTTCTATTAATGTATAAATGTATATGTGGTATTTTCTAAGCTTTCTTCTATAGACTGAAATAGAGATTTTTGTTGACCAGATAATTGGTAGATTTTTAACTATTATCCCACAGAATTCTCGTACTCCAGTAGCATAGAATACAGACTGAGTTCATATAACATGTTTTCCAAGCAGTCATCAATCTTCCAAGGTCCTTCCTAGCCAAGTGTAATATAAATACTTGAATGAGATCTTGGTGCTGACATTTAGAATGCTATGGCATTCATCTGCACTTAGTATCTGTCACTGAAAAGACCTGGCAGCATTTGCAGTTAGTTTCTTCTACTGCCAAGGTGTTAAAGTCTAAAAAAAGAAAAGAAAAAAAGACAAGGTAGGCCAAGCTTGGTTAATTTAAGTTATACTCCATAACAGGCATAAGCCAACCAGATCTATGCCACATGGTTTTGTTATTATATCTAGTATGCGTGAGTTTGAACATAAACATATGTTTATTATAGATCACTGAACTTAAGTTCAGCAGAACTTTTATTCAGGTCTTATTTTCATCAGCTCAAGTAGCCATACAAAATACCATAAACTGGGTGGCTTATAATCTAGAGATTTATTTTATTTTTTATAAGTTTTATTTATTTATGCATACAGGACTGGGGTACAGGCAGGCGGTGTGGGGAGGGAGGGAATGAGAAGATTCACTGGAGACAGAGTAGAGAGTAAAACAGGCAGATGGACTGAAATACACTGCTGAGGGGGAAAGCAGGCAGGTCAGGAGAGGTCTGCCACACAATGTAGGTCACCTCCCTGGCCGGGGATCGAACTTGTGCTGTAGTGACTGCAGCAGCTTCATAGTGCTGCGCTTTGACCCATTACACCACTAGGGAGGACCTAGAGATTTATTTTCTCACAGTTATGGAGTCTGGAAACCCAAGGAAGGGTACCAGCATGGCCAGGTTCTGGCAAGGGTCATCTTCCCTGGCTTGCATACAATCATCTTCTCGATATGTCCTCACATAGGCTTTCCTTGATATGCGCTCACAGAAACAGAGCAATCTCTCTCGTCCTCTTGGCCACCAACCCCACTGGGTTAGGTTCTCATCCACATGACCCCATTTAAACATGGTTTCCTCCATAAACCCTGTCTTCACTTAGAAGCACAGCAGGACTTAGGGCTTCAATATATAAGTTTTGGGAGGACGCACTTCAGTCTATAGCAGATACTTTTGCTTTTCTATCTTCATTTAATATCTAAAATGGGGAGAAGAATTTCAGATCAGTAGTCTGCAACCAAGGTTTTGAAATAGAAATAATATCCCGCGGTAAGATTATGTGGACTACCAATATTGATCAGAATTTTATTTTATAATAGCACTGACTATTTCATGAAATCTTTAAAAATTAAAAATTGTACTTTGTATATGCCTATGTAATTTTTATGAAAAGCAGTAAATGTCATTTATTTGGTTAGCTAATTGTTAACACCTTTAGGTTTTTTTGTTAAAAATATCAAACCTAATCTAGTGAATCCTTTATAATCTAGAATCATTTCCTGTACCAGTGTACAGGAAATACAGAAGGCATAAAATCATATTAAATGATACCTCAGGGATGCAATCAACAAAATCCTTAATGTAGGAATAGCTATAGGACAAATAACCCAGTTACTTCAATTAGAAAGAGAGAGAACAATAAAAAGGGAACTAGCTATTGATAGCACACAACTTGGAATGAATTTCAGCAACACTAGTCTGTAGTTCAAGAGGTTATACACTCTGTGATTCCATTTATAGGAAACTTCTTTGGAGCTGCTACCCAAGAGTGGTGTTAATCTCCATGGGACAAACGCTGGCAGTCAGTGCAGCCAGAGCCCGATAGGCCCAGGCACAGGGCCTGAAACACTGCAGGTTAAGTGCCACTTCCCTGGCCAGCATGTGTTGAATGAACATATATGTTATGCTGGGAACCAGAAATGACAAGAGGGAATAAAATGTGATGTTGCAGTGAGACTATGAAATCAGAATAAGCAACCCTGAATTAGAAAACTGCTTCTAAAAACCCATAGTATTACCTGTAAGGACAGTAAAGACTATAAGAAGACAGAGTTCAACATAAGCTGAACTAAAACAGAAAAACCTTCATGGGAGATTTGTCAAACAAGTGGTTTGGTTGGAATGAGTGTGGATTTCAGAGAGTCTAGTATAAATAAAGGGAAGTAGCAGGAACAAGCATGAGAGAAGTGAGCAGCTGGAATGAGAGCAATCTGGATCTGAAACTACTGTGCAAGCCTAGGAAAAGGCTGACCAGCTCCAGGCCATGCCTATCAGGCAGATTACAGTGTTCTTACAGTGAGCAGTAAATCATCTTTGTAGGTTTTGAGTAAAAGCATGACCTGACAATAATACGAATATACAAATTAAAGTTTATACAGTCTGAGAAGCAGTTCAACCATCTATAAAATGTCCTTTAAAATATTTACATCAGGGCCCTCCCTGATGGCACAGCAGGTTAAAGCACAGCTCTAAGAAGCTAAAGCCACTTCTGCATGAGTTCAATTCCTGCCTGCCCCGGAGGTGACCACATGGCGCGGCAGACCTCTCCTGACCTGCCCGCTGCTCCCCTCAGCAGTGTACTTCATCAGTCTGCCTGTTCTGCTCCCCACTCTGTCTCGGGTGAATCCTCTCATCACCCCCTCATCTCTGACCTGTACCCCAGTCTGTATACATAAATAAATAAATCTTTAAAAAAATGAAAAAAAAATATTTACATCAGTAGATATTTTTAAATTATTGAATACTAGTGACATAGTTATGTGTACTTTGTGAAAGTCCATCAAGGACTATACAGGATACATGTTACCCTGTATGTGTTAGCACATACAAAAAAATTTTTTAGTGCTTGCTTTGGCAGCATATATTCCAAAAATTGTGACAATACAGAGATTTGAGTGACCCCTGCACAAGGATGACACACAAATTCACAAAATGTTCCATACTAAAAAAAAATGTGTAGTTGGTAAGATGTGGGAAGTTCAGCAGGTACCACCAGATATATTACATGTTTACATCTGTGAAAACATGAATGATAAGAGAAATAATCTATCACTAAGTTGCCCAAGGTCATTCAAACAGTTATTGGTGGAGCTAGGTCAGGATTTTTAGGTTTCCTTATTACCAGTCCAATGTGACTTATGTTTAGCAGATGATAAGCAGTTCATTCTTTTTAAAAAAAAATATTTATTCATGCATACAAGAACTGCGGTATAGGCCTGAGGTATGCAGAGAGTGAGAGGAGTCACCAAAGACAGAGCAAGGAGCAGAATAGGCAGACCAACCTAAACACACTGCTGAGGGGAGCAGCAGGTGAGACAGGAGAGGTCTGTGGCACCATGTGGGTCTCCTCCCTAGCCGGGGATTGAACTCATGCTGCAGTAGTTTCAGACAGCTTCCTAGAGCCACGCCTCAACCCACTGCACCACCAGAGAGGGCCCATCACTACATTCTTTTTAAGACAGACAGCACCTACAAAGCCCTTGGTGCGGTGGCCTCCTTTAGTCTACTTACCTTCCTATGTCTTGCAGAAAACAACAGATCAATAACATTCCCCCAAAACAGGCAGGAGTTCTCTCATTAAAGATTTGTATCTTGGCGTAGATCAGAATATCTTACCTTCCTCAAATTTACCATTAACATAGATGAGAACTTTTCTGAATTAATTAAAAATGCATTTTTTGTTCATATATATACATACACACACACACACACCCATATATATACACACACAGACACACAAATACAAACACAGTGTAGAGTCAACTTGCCTACTTCTGGAGTGATATGCTGGGACTTAGCTATAAGCAGACATGTTAAACACAGAACAAATAAGTTGTGATGTTGTATGTTTAATAGGATCTCGTTTCTATAAGAATATATTAGAAATGGAAAAACAGGATATTTAGAAAATGTTGCTTACTTCTGTGGGAATATTATAGTATTTCTTTTTTTTTGAATTTTCAACAATAAAATAAATGCAATCAGGAAGTAAATTGTTTTTTAACTTAAAAATATCTTAAGCAAGATAGTTAGGTGTATAAATCATATCTCAGCACTGTTCTATATCATTTAAAAAGGGAACATTTCAGTGGCCATGTTCCTCCTATGTACTGGCCAATTAATTATTGAAATGCAAGTTTTCCAGCAGCTAATCATCCAGTCCAACTTCAATGAAACCTTTCATTTAGGCATAAAATTTTGGAAGGATATAGACTGAAAATGGTGTAATATCTATTGAAAAAAGCTACTTACAATGTGTAGCACAATTATAAACCTCCTTGAAAATGTTTCTGCAGGTATGCTGGCATCCTCCTGGGCATCACAAACACATTTGCCACTATTCCGGGAATGATTGGGCCTGTCATTGCTAAAAGTTTAACATCTGATGTAAGTAGTTAATTGCTTTTAAATTGAAAAGGCCTAACGAGTTCACCTGAAGCTACACAACTGTGTCAAAGTTGAGTATATTGTAATTAAGGATAAAATTCTCAATGTTTATTCTGTGCATTTCTTTGCAGCATAATGCTAATGCCTTAAAGAGTAGGGAACTGAAAGAAAAAAAGGTAGGAAACTATTTTCAGAGAACACTAATGGGACTTTAAATAGAATAGAACTAAGTTAAATGAACATCTTATAGCTAAAATTGTACTTAGCATGATTTATTCTACATAAATAACTTGTATCTTTGGTTTGAACAAATAAAAATTGGCAATGTGAAATTATTCAAGAGGTGGCTGGACAAAAGTGAGGTGTTAGGAAATTATGTGAGAATGAATGTGGATAAGACTAGAGGAGCACTTGGGAAGACCTGATAGGTGTCTTCACACATTTGAAGGACTCCAATATAAAATATGGTTACATATTCTTGGCAATTCCACAAAGATAGAGAAAAGTTATGAGAAGACAATAGGCAGTCTTTCTATTTAATTCTGTTACTTTATAGAATTGACTGCCTAATGCTTTAGAGGCCCTGAAATAATCAAGTGTATTCAACATGCATTTCTTGAGTGCTTATTAACATGCTAAATACTGAGGATTCAAAAGCAAAATAACAAGCTTCTGTACTTGAGAAACTTATCGTTTAGAGGGTATACATAATTGCATAGTTAAAATGCAGTGTGATAGCTACTGTAGAAAGAAATTATGCAGAGTGCTGTGGGCACAGAGGAGGGATCAGTTAGCTTTGTGGACTAGGAGCATGGAGCAGTGAGTCAGAGGCGTGGTCAGGGCTGATACTCAGGCCTGTACAAGGACAGCAAGCTCTTGGAAGCAGAGTGGGCCCAGGGTTAGTCTAACCTGAAGCTGGTCAGTGGCAAAGAGCCAACTCAGTAAGCAGAAACTCAGCATTATAAAAGATTCTCTATCTTGTGTAAGAAGTCAAAATAAATGATCACAATGACCCCTTCTAAATCCATTTCTCTTCTATTTAAAAACATCTGAGCCCTCCCTGGTGACTATAGCACAGCACTATGAAGCTGTCCACAGCCATTGCAGCATGAGTTCGATCACCAGCATGGGACCTCTTCTGTCCTGCCCACTGCTCCCACTGCTCCCTTCAGCAGATCTGCCTGTTCTGCTCCCCATTCTGTCTCTGGACACACACACACACACAAACACACACACATACACACACACATACACACACTCCTCTGGCCAGCACCCTAGCTCTTGTAATAAAATAAATAAATCTTTAAAAAAAATTTGTTTTAATCTAATGGACTAGTTTAACATATTCAAGAGATTGCCTTAAACCTCTAAAAGAGACTTTGTGATCTAGTTAACACAGTCTACACCATAGAATTTCAGAATATATCTTTACCAGATATACAGATTCCAAATGTATATGTGTTCACAGATATTTCTTCTCCACGCCTACCACTTCTAATTCCTTATTTGAATGAGTCAATGACTCATTATTATTTCCTCTCCATAAAAAAATATTATTAGGAAAGGATTTTTTTTTATTCTTCTAAAAGTCTGTGTCTCTATATGGATATATCAGAAATATTTAATCTTCATGGAATATTGTGGCAATATAAGAACCTAAGTCAACATACTACCATATATTAATTTCACTTATTGTTAATAATCCTAGCACATCTGCTAAGGAGAATGAATTCCTAAATTAAGGTATTAAATGTTTATAAAGTAAGAAATTAAACTGGATTTTGGATATGCTATTACAAGACACATATTTAAAGTTTCAAAGGATATTACTTCTAAAAAGAAAAAAACTGTTTTAACCACTATAACAGCTTACATTACTACATTACCAGAGCTTATTATTGTAAATAATAATGAAATAGAGCCTCCTGGTGATATAGGGATTAAAGTCTTAGTGCTATCAACCATCATTAGCCACTGCTGCATGAGTTCAATCCCCAGGCAGGGAGCTGACCCACATGGCACAGCAGGCCTCTCCCACGTCAGCCTAGTAAGTGTATTTCAGTAAACCCACCTGTTCTGCTCCCTAGAGCTCTGTCTCTGGTGAGTCCTCTGAACCCTCACACCCAGTTCTTATATGTATAAATAAGTAAAATTTAAAAAAAAAAGTAAGCATATGTAATGTTTACTTTTGCTACAAACAAAACAGCATTCTCTGAAGTTTTGTTAAAAAAAATTGGAGCTATGTGAGATTTTTAGCCACCAAAAAGCACTGAGGTACTGTCCTGTAGGTCACAGCAAAACCTTGTTTTAGGAACCCTAAAAAGCTGTCAAACATTTCCTGGTAGGTGATGCAATTATTAACTGATTCCAACTCTAGAGTAGCCGTACATTGTTAGCAAATCTAAATGGTCATTAAAATTTAAGAGTTCTAAGATTTATTTTGCACCAGAGTATATTTGGGTCAGAAAGTTATAACCTCAAAGGGCTCCTGCTTTCCCCATGTTTTGTCTTTTTCCCAAAATACATGACCTTATACTCTTCCTAGTGCCTTTCCTTTGCTGTGTCAGTGCTAATTAATTCTACTGCCTGTTGGGTTTTTGGTGCTTTTTGTTTGTTTTGTTAACAACAACAACGACAAAAAATGCTGCAAATGTGCTCTGGTTAGATTGGAACTATAAGAATTTTAAAAATGGTGTTAAGCTTGGCCAGATGGCCTGGAAATTAGATAACTGTCTGATGTTTTTATACCACTGGATTATGCATTGAACAGTTGTTGGATTGGTTTTTTGTTTTTTTTTTACAGATTTATTTATTTATGTATACAGAACTAGAGTACAGGCCAGAGGTGTGAGAGGTGAGAGCATTCACCAGAGACCAAGAGAGGAGCAGAACAGGCAGATCTACTGAAATACACTGCTGAGGGGAACAGCAGGTGGATCAGGAGAGGTCTGTCATACCATGTGGATCCCCTCCCTAGCCAGAATCAAATACAAGTGCTGCAGTGGCTTCCTAGTGCTGTGCTTTAACCTGTTGCGCCATCAGAGAGGGCCCCTGAACAATTGTTTTGAAATCCTTAGTGAATAAATTCCATGCATGTCTTTCAAACCACACCTCAAAACTGAACTTCAGAGTCCATCTCCATCTTTACACCTCTCACCCTTAGCAATGTGGGAGGTTATATACAGGCATAGTACTTCCCTAGTTACACATAATCCAGGGACATGTACACATCTTATTTTAAAATTAAAATGTATTACTTGCTTTGTATTGAAGTATAACATGTATTTTTAAATGCATAAATAGTAAGTATACAGGTAGACAAATTTTTACAAAATTAATACATACCTATAGTAAGTACTCAATAAACAAATAACATTAGCTCCCCTGCAGAGTGCCTAAGTACCCCTTCCTGCTATTCCTCTTTGACCCCCATTAAAAGGAAACACTGGGCCCTCCCTGGTTTCAAGGGGTTAAAACACAGCACTTTGAGGCTCTCCACAGTCACAGATAGCACAAGTTCAATCCTTGGCCAGGTTGGTGACCCACATGGTGCAGCTGACCTCCCCTGTCTCACCCACTGCTCCCCTCAGCAGTGTATTTCAGTTAGTCTGTCTTTTCTGTTCTCCCTCTGGCTCTGGTGAATCCTTTCATGTCGCCTACCCCCATACCTCTGGCCTATAGCACAGTTCTTTTATGCATAGATGAATCTTTAAAAAAAAAAAAAAGGAACCACCATTCTGACTTTTAACATAGTTTTTTCTCATTTTGAGCAGCATATAAATGAAGGCATACAGCATGTACTCTTTTGTATCTGGCTTGTTTCGCTTAACATCTGTATTTGAGATGTACCTATGTTGTGTCGCCCACTCATTTTAGTGCTGTATAATATTCCATTGAACAAATACAGTCATGTGTCTTAACATGTTGGTCAACAACAGACTGCATACATGGCTGTGGTCCCAGTGGGCTAAACTGTATAACCTAGATATATAGTGGGCTGTACCATCTCATTTTGTGTAACCATACTGTATGAATTTCATAAAACAAAATTACCTAATACTGCATTTCTCAGAACACATCCCATCATTAAGTGTCACAGTTCGCTATTGTACATTTGGGTTGGTTCTGGCATGAGGCTTTTACAAATACTACTACTGTAACAGTCTTGTGATACCACCATTTTTGCAAAGTGAACTATACACAAAAATTTCTTTCATTTGCATTTACTTTCTTTCTTTCTCTATAGAACACTATTGGAGAATGGCAAACTGTTTTCTGTATTGCTGCTGCTATTAATGTATTTGGTGCCATAGTCTTCACGTTATTTGCCAAAGGAGAAGTGCAAAGCTGGGCTCTTAGTGATCACCATGGACACAGAAACTAAAGGAATGAATAAATAATCCTGTCTATATTAATGTATTTTTGTTTATCATGTAACCTGAAAGTGCCTTTGATATTTAATGTGTAAACATTCTATATACAAAAAAAAATTGTACTTGGATTCAATTTTTAAGGTTTATAATCATGAAATGTCACTACTTCCCAGATTGGTAGAATTAGCTACTTTTAATTATTAATAAAGCACATATGCTGGAACATATACTTTAGGGTCACCTGCCTGGTTGCAAGTCAGGAAATCTGAAGTAGAGGGTTTCTGTTTACTCTGAATAGCCATACTGACAGGAATGAGCTGAGATGGACCCTTCTATAACTTTGCTTAATTAACTAAACCAGATAATTCTCAGGTCTTAGTAAATACTTGTTTTTGTCCACTTTGCTTGCAATCCCTGACAGGTCTCAAACTTTAGCATCTCCACAGAGCTGCCAGCCACTGTCTAATTTGGCCTGGCAACCTCAAGGAGGGAAGCGTGCCCAGGCAGCTGCCAAACATTCCTTCCCTGGCTTCAGGGCCAGTGCCCAGCCTTTACCAGAGGCAGCATCCAAGACTGGCCAGTGCCAAGGCTCTGGATAGTGTTCTTCCCCTGGGAGCTGTTAATGTGTCCGTAAAGCCCCGAGCGGCAGGAGCAGTGAGATCCAAGGCTGTGGCCGTGACATTCCCTTCCCGGCACATTGACTGGCCTGTAAGCTGCCAAAGAAAAATGGATGCCCCATTAACCACAGATACTGTCATCCTTGACTAAAGCTACCTTCAGGTGAATCAGAGAATAAATGTCCAAGTTCTGTTTTATGAGCTGCACCAAAATAGAAACAAGTCAGCAACAAAAACCTCTCACATTTTCTTCTGTCTACATGTAAGTTTCTGGTTGCTGTTTACACTAGTTCTCTGAGATCCACGGTGTAATCATTTTTATTGCGGCTTATAAAATCGTATTTTTCCAGTTTTTTCTGGACAATCTTCCAATGGTTTTGGAGTCACACTTTGAGGGCATTAATGTGATTTATAATTTGGTTCATGTTTTATTATGTTTGTTCAAAACTACCTGTAATATTTTAACCAGAACTGTTTATTGTAAGACCATGCAAGTACATTTATGTAAGCCTATTTTTAAATATGTAAATAGCTTTACGTTGCTATCGGTGATCTTTCTATTATAAATCATCAAAATAAATCTTGGGTTGATTTTTGGATCCGATCATTCTGTGATATTTGCTGGTGTCTACAGTGGCTGTGTCACATTTTTTCCGTCATCCTTCTCAAGCTACCAGTCTACCTCTATGTGCGTCTCTGCCAATGCCAGGCTGAAGAGACTTAGGCTAAGTGACTCAGCAGCAGAAACTCTGATTGCCATCACCTGCGATCCCTAGCTCTGAAATGGGTCCCATCTTCTGGGTAAAGTGTATACCTATTTTACTGATCTGTATTCTTCTACCTCCTCTAAGATCTTGCTTCCTGAATTCCTTTTTAAGTTGCTCCTTCAATTTTTACCTACCTGTTTGCTGTTTTTTCCATTCTCAAGACACATATCTTCTCCAGCCTTTGTAAAAGTAAAGCTACAGAACTCCTTGGAAGATGCAAACACACACACACAATATACAGAATAGCTCTGAAATGACATTCAAGAAACTGGAATCAGTGGTTACTTTGGCAAGAAAAAATAGACAACCAAGGTGTAGAAAGGAGAAATGTCACCAAATGTGTCAGTATAGACTATTCAAATAAATACCTCACTGAGAAAACAGAACACCTGGGCTCAAAGCTACTAGGGTCTAACTTGCTACTGGTCATCCCCAAACACTAACCTTTGTAGGTGAAACTTGCTTAAATTCAACCTCACTCCTGCACCCCAATCCCAGTAATACTGGCTGTTCTGTCATGTATTCCTATTAAAAGTTTCATTTTCCCAGTTACTTAGGCTTGGACCTAGAATCATGTTTTATTCTTTCTCCCACCCTAATCTCCCATCCCCAAGTCTTTTTCATTCCAGCTTTTCAGGTCTCTGGAATTTTCTTTAGTATCATACATCTAAGTAAGATCCTTGTGGCCTAAAATCCTCTGAATAGAGAAGTCAAATGGCCTCACTGCCTTTAGGCTGATTCACTTCTGTCCAATTCCCCCGTGACTGGGTTCACCAGCCCAGTGCACATATCTCCCTGACCAGGACTTCCCTTTGCCTACTCAAGAAACTACCTAGCTGCCTGTCCTCCTCACTCCTAGCCCTAGCTACTCCATCCTCATCGTCCACCACACCTGGTTGCAGCCTTATACACTATTAAACTCTTCCCCACTGGCTCTCTATGACCTTACTAACTTAATTCCTTGCTCACGGTAGATCACTCTTCATCTTCTTCATGACCCCTGATTTCTTCCATCCTCCCTGATGTAGATGTGGCCTTTTCATTTGATCTACTAAATACCCTGTCATTTATTTCCAGATGTTTCTTTACTTAACATCTTAGGCTTAGTGATAAGATCATTCATGCATGCATGCATTCATTCATCAATATAAGAATCTACTCTTTGCTAGGCAACAAGGATACAGGAATGAGTTTAACACAGTTCCCCCCTTTCCCCAAAACCTCCCTGAGGTTAAGTCTCCTTAATCTCCTTTCTCTTCCACAGCCCTCTCATTATAATGCATAGGACACTGCTTTGTGTCTGTGTCCCTGTTAGATTCATCACAAACACCTGGAGGCAGCTCCATTTGATTTCTATCAGCATCATCTCTCTTACAATAACATATGCTTTGTCTTAATATCTTAGTTGTTTAATCAATATTTAGTGAGTCACCCTTTGGTTAAATGGACTATAAGTTAAATTTTTCATTTCATATTTTGCTTTTTTCAATGTTTTTTTGTTCTCAAGAAAATAATTTTTTTTTAAGATTTATTTATGCATACAAGAACGGGGTACAGGCCAGAGTTGTGGGTGGTGAGAGGATTCACCAGAGAGAGTGGGAACAGAACAGGCAGATCTACTGAAACACACTGCTGAGGGGAGCAGCAAGTGAGAGAGCAGAGGTCTGTCACCTGCCTGACTTGGAACCAAACTCACTGCAGTGGCGGTGGATTGCTTCATAGTGCTGCGCTTAACCCGTTGTGCCACCAGGGAGAGCCCAACAACACCTTTTAAAGAAAAACGATATGCTAACCTCAAAGTAAATTATATGTGGCAGTTATTGGTAAATGGTTTTGAAAGTATTTGAAAATAGCTTTGCCCTATATAATCAACATACTTCTCCCAGTAGTACAACAAATATTTATTGAGCGTCATTATGTGCCAAGCTTTGTTTTTGCACCTGGTATACTACAGTGAAAAGAGGTAAATCCCTTTTCTCATGGAGCTCATATTCTGATTTATCCAGCCTTTTTCTTCATAGGTTCTAGCCTTTAAAAATTTCCACATAAATACCTCATTCCACCCAACAATCAAATCCCATGGGAAATAAACATGCCAAATGACCTTGAGAACCAGAGTTATGAAAGAAATGGAGACAAATACTAAAGTCAGCAGTTTGTGTTAACCATTGATGTGTCTTCCTTCAGTTCTTCATCTTCAAGAATCAGAGATAGAGATGTTTAAATTTAGGCCCAGTTGCAAGGAAGACATTCTTCTCTCTGAGCTTATCACTACTCAAGATAAAATCCTTCCAGTAGAAAAAGATTTCAATAGAGGATTTAAATTTGAAGGCAGGAAGGACACTGTAGGAAATGGACAGGTTCCTTTCGGAAAAGAATGTACTACTTCAGATAGAGAGGGGTAACTGTCTCATTTCAGTTAAAGACTAAATCATCTTTCTCAGAGAAAAGTAAGTTAAAATGATTACAAAAGCTTTTCAAATGCTTCTGCCTTTTAAAGCAACCATAAGCAGAAAAGCCAATTATAAAGTTCATGCTCCTCTCTGCTCTGGAAAGCTGTTAGGACAGGCCACTAAAAAGAAATGGAATATAAGGAATTTTCTGCCACCCCTTTTCATGAGGCTTAAAGAGGAAGGACGCTAGTAATTTTCCAAGTGCCTGTTTACTTTCACTTTATCTTGATTTGGGGGAGGAGGCAGCCCAGCAATTCCACGTCACCACCAGTCCTGAGCTGCAAGTGAGAAGGCACTATTGCACAATCCAACTGAAAAGTATCTAAATGACCTGTTTCCCCCTCACACACACCTTCAAACCACGATAGGCTGGATTTTGGACTGAGGAACTCTGGCATCCTGAACACTATTCAATATTTTTGTGATGTGCCCTTCTAGTCAGAAACCACTGAAATAGACTTGCATTCCAGCAGAGTTGTGACCCTCTCAGAATCAAGGGGCACTGTAACAGATACAAGTTTCATGGACTCCACCCCCCCTCTAGATCCTGGAACTACAAATCCCATCAATACCAAGGAGAAGCACACTGGGACGTGAGGGTGGAGCTGAGCAGCCAGGTTAGAATAAAACTGGACATGTGGGCTCCGGGGGTCCCTTGGTCTGGCTAGTCTTTTGGCTGTTGATCAGCGTTCAGTGTGTTGTTGGGGTTCCAAGTGAGCAGAACTGGTAGAACGTTCTACTTACCTTGTAGTTCTCTCTCTCTCTCTTTCCCTGGGTTGTTCCTTTCCCTTTCTCCTTGTAAATAAACCCTTATTGAGCCATTTTGTATGTGTAAGCAGCACAATTGAATCTTAAGTGTGCAGGTGAGAACCCACAGATAGGCAACCCAGTTCACATTGGGGTGCCCTGTAACAGCACGTGGCCCAGTCTTCCTTTCGAGCACACCATAGATAGCCTCTGGTTTCCAGTATCTTACAACTTCAACTTCATGCTCACTCCACTGACTGAAACTTGAGCTTCCTACACAAGCTTGGTTGAGAGTGAAAGAATCTGAATAGGATAGTCTTCTTAATGCTTACAAACTGTTTCATGCAAAGTATTGGGATGCTAGTGGAAAGTCAGGTAGATATATTATACAAATTATTTATATAATATTGATCATAATGCCCCCTCTTTTTTTTTTTTTTTAACAGTGAGACAATGTTTTCAGAGGTTTGCAGTCCTTTAAGCTGTTCTAACAAGTGGTAAGAAGTTTATCCTGAAACATTAACTGGATTTTCTTTTTGACCATCACCCCAAATACCAGGAACTATGTAGTAAATAACAGCATTTGTCACTTCATGTTCACAATAAGCCTGAATATGCAGGGAACACAATATCAATGGAGAGGTCATTGGTCTTGACAGAGACCCAGATAATAACTTTAGTTCCCAATGCCAACTTCAACCAAATAAGCCCACTGACCCTTAGTATTAAATAAGGCCAAAAAAAAAAAAACTACTTAATAATAGGTGTTCCTACTGTAACAGGGTGGTCCCCAGGAAAAGGGGAAGTTCCAGTGTTCCCTACTCCACCCAGAAGGAGGATAGAGCTGAACATAGAAGAGTGGAGTCTGGAGAAGGAAGCAGGATGGAGAACCAGAAGGTGACCTGAGGAAGCCACATGGAGCAAAGAGACATGTGAAGAAACATGTTTGCTTCTTGGTCCAGCACTGATTAAAATAGATGTGGGTGAGAGACCCGTGGGAAGGTTCACTATGGCAGCATTTATCTTGATTTTGATTTTGCTC